AAGAGATTTCAAAGAAATTTTTCAAGTCATCTTGGTTCCCTTCACTTTCAAAGATAAGGGATCCCAGCATATGTGCACATGTTAAAACAGAAAACACATCCCCATATAAACAGAAGGGTTTTAAAAAATTCTTATCCAAAAAGAGAAATGGGATACTGCAGATGTGAAGACTCTGAAAGAATTTGCTTAATTTTTTTATCCATAAAGAATTTGAGAACCCCACTCATATCACACAATGCCAGAGATTCTTTAACCCCCTAGTTTAATTTCCCCCTAGTTTTCTCCTGTGTAATGAGGGTTTTTCCAGCAACAGCCCAAATACTACTCATCTATGATAGATTAGAAAAATACTACATATGTTTTCCAAGTGTGTTCCACCTTACATTTGAAAGAGTATCCAGAAGAAAAAAGGTCAGGATGGGGAGAGAGGAGAGGAAAAACCCATACACCAGACTCAAGAGAGGAGAGAAGGCAATTTAGGAATAGGCCTAAATCCTGTTAAAGGCAGAACAGGAGAGGGGAGGAGACACCAACCAAATTTTCACAAGTGTCAGAAAATATACACAAATGACTAGAATTTACCATCAATAAAGCAAATGTGGCTTGAATTTTGAGAAGCATGCCTCCTAGCCCATAGTGCAATCCCACTCTCTACTTATTTTTAGTAGAAGGGGCTAAACCCCCAAAACAGCTGATGTAACATCACTTCAGTTTCTATACTAAGACCCAGCACATGAAAAGATTTGCAATTCATCAGAGTCTACCATTGTGATCACAGCCTTAGTGGAAACAGGATTACAATGCCATCTTCCAAATCCAGAAGTTAACTATTCCTGAACTTGAAGCAGTATCAGCTTTGGATAATCCCTTATGACAGCCTGTCTCTTAAATCAACACTTCATCCATCAACACCAATATCTAATGAAGAAAGCAAAGAAAATAGGAAGTTCAGATAAGAATGAATCTGTATGAGAAAACTAGCCCTACTGAAGTACAATGTGATTTATATAAAAGTTAAAAAGTGAATTCAGTGCAATGAAAAGCTCTCATACTGAGACCTAAAAATGAACAGGCAAAGATGTACCTAACAGTTTTGAAATGCAGAATGGTGGTACTCAAGCAGCTTTAAATTCTATTCACTATCACGTCCAATTCAGTCTCTCACCCAACAGCTAGTTTAACCAAGCTAGAAGAAGCTCAAAGACTACTGCAACTTTTGCAAGATTACTCTCATGAGGTAAGTGGAATTAACAGAAACAGGAACCCGATCATTGTATGGATTCAATAGAGCACAAATGCCTAATTAATACATGCCAGAAAAGAAAAGCCTGTTTTCAGATTAATGAATCTGCAGAGACATAGGACATATGCACATACTTCTTCCCCACTGCCCCCTACTATAAAGGAAAAAATATAATATTCAAAAAATAATATTCACTAAACTCAATTTTGCAGATTTACTTTTACACATGGAATGGATAGATTTTCTAGTAACTGTGTCCTGACTGACAATTAAACAATAAAAATTAAGTTTGCTTACTTCTGTAGAACTTCTTCTTGACCACAGACTTTCAAGATATAGCTGCTAATGTTCACTTCATTCAAGTCATCATGTACCCAGCAAAGTGCCTGCATTATTATAAGCTCAACAGGAGAGCTCACTGTTAAAAAAAACAAAAACAAAAAAAAAACCCACATCATCTAACAGTAAATATAAATTACTGTACATCTCTACTGACAGTTTTAATTGCTTACTCTACCTAGATTTTTTTTTATATAACAGAAGCAGGCAACATTCTCCTCTATATGTATGTGTGTGTACACACACACACACACACACACACACACACAGTATTTTATCTGAATGGGTCTGAAAGCACATTAACTACAGAGCTTTCTGTAATGCCCAAAGAAGCAGCAGTTGTGAGTGTTATTCATCGTATGTTGAATAATATCAAAGGCTTCTCTCGGTTCTTCATTTAGCTGCAAAAGCATCGTCTTGTACAGCCATTTATGTTCGCCTAGAGAAACATCATCCTCTTCAACAGCAGTTTCTTGTAAGGTAAGTGTAGTTGGTAAGCTGCAGCATTTCATAGAATAACCTTTTTCTAAGGGATTCTGAATGTACAGTAAGGCTTTGTGCTCTGTATCGTCCTCAGAGGACCACTTTGAATTTGTCTCATATAACGGGGGCATCAATCTCGGTGCCTCTGGCAGAAGATACACAAAATAACGACATAACTGTTTGGAAAGCATAGTACTGGTAGCGTTGTCCCTAACTTCTATCATTTCTTTTACAGAGGCAGTCAAACCACGTGCTTTGACTGCTTCCTGGAACGTGTGGGATACTTGCCCTTAGATAGTTCTCAGCTCTTCATAAGACTGGGCCCCTGCTATCTTTGTCAGTAGCAGCATCAAATGAAGACATTCAGTATCATGAGGAGAGACTGAGTTCAAATGGCATACGACTTATATTATTTGTCAGACTAGATCATCAAGGTGTGTTGGGAGACAACTAGCCCTCAGAGCAAAGAAGATTTTTAGCTGCTCAGATGTCTGAGATTTCCTTCCTTCCACATGCAATTCAGCATCTCCTACTTGTTCAGGTAAGGCAGATAAAAGCAGTTGTCACCTAACTTCTTTACCAAAGATTACTAGTAGGTAGTAGAACCTTTACAGGTGAGTTTTAATAAAGTGCACAGTCTTATCCCTGAAAAGAATAGAACCTCTGCCTTGTTCTTCAAGACAGGTTAGAATTGAATTCCCAGAGCAGTATTTATGATTGAATTTTGCCGGTCTGCAAGGGACTTGCTTAATCCCATAATTTTGTGGACATTGTCATTGTGTGCTCCAGAATCTAAGCACTTGATTTAAATCAAACTCTCTACTGCTTATGGTCACAAAAAGTCTGAACAGAATATGAAATGATGCAAGGATCTCTCTGAAGCTGTAGATCATCTTTCAAAGCTGTTTCAGGAATCTGAATATCTTTGTTTCAGTGTTTACAAATATATTCAAATTAAAGCAAAATTTAATTCGCAACTAGGCTGAGAAAGGCTCAAAAGGCAAATTTTCCATGAGAAAGCTGCAACTACCAGAAAAGTAAATGCCTAGAATAAATGAGCCATCTCAATATTTATCATTAGTATTTTCAGAACTCATTCAGAATGCAAAGGGTTATTAATTTTTAACGAGTCAGCCTATTGAACTGCAAATGTGAACTGAACTATGAGATGAAAACACTTACCATCACATGTAAATATTACTGGCTGTTGAAATCCTTCAATTTCTATAGAAACCTTGATACTGGCATTCTCCCCATTTATATTTCTTTGCAGCATCACTGGACTCAGCACAAAGCCTGGATTTGTATCCTGGCTGTTATAGGGAAACTTGGTCCTCAATCTGCAAACAAAGAGGGTTTTCATTTATGCGTTTATTCTATGCTCAAGTCCTTCTTCTGTTTTGCACAGCAATGCAGTTTTGGATCATACCAAAACTCAACAAGCAGCTGAAAATGCTTTTATAGTCTTAAGATGTTGCTACAGAAACATCTGACATCCACTTTCTGCACTCCAAAACTTCCCATACTAAATAGATGAGCAACCAGTTCAAATTTAGAATGTAGGCTGGAGCAAAAGACAACTTTCACATGTTAAGCTCATCTATACATAGCTTGGTATTTTTACAATATTCTGAATTTCCATGTTTAACTTTAAGTTACAATAATCTGAGAGAGTAAGTTATACTGTAGCACCTACATAAGACAACTAATTTTAATTAATTAGTTAAATGCAATATTTTTTGGAATACAAATCTTCAACACACAATACATTATTTAGTCTTTGGAACTCCTGTTTTATCTGATGTGTACTGTTTAAATCCAATTATTTCAAACACTGAAATTTAAATAAATCAGCAATGAAAAGGAGATAAGCTAGGGACAAAATTTAAAATTTTTGCTTACATTATATACACACACACACACACACACACACACTGTGTCTTCACTGAGTTTTTTCCATCAGAAAATATGCTAATGAGTCCCTCCTTAGCATATTTTCTACTGGGTGGGGGGAGACTCACAATGAAGACACAGCCATTAAGAATAGAAGAATTATATTGGTCTATAATGGTCCACATAGTTAAGCATCCGGTACCTCCTGACAGCAATTAACATGTGCTTGAAAGAAAAAGAAGATATCCCTTATATGGCAGCATAAAGGAGAGCTCTTAGTAGTTTAAGTTTTTAATCTGACATACATTTAAAATTGTATATGCATCTGTAACTAATTCTGAAATGTTTGTATTCCTATCCAATATTCAATTTTGTCTCAGTACCTTGGTGCAGTGAGTTCTACAAGTTAATTGTGAGTTTTCAAAAGTATTTTATTGGTTTCAAAGTTACCTTTTTATTTCATTGGATATACTCCCTTTCTGCATTCTGAGAAAGTGAACAGCAGCCAACTGACAACCTCCCTCATTCATTATTTTTTGTGCATTTTAGATCTTAATTTCATTTCAATTAAATATTCCTAATATTTAAATATTCCTAATATTTTAATATATTTAAATACACAAACAAATCTTACATTGTTATAACATGCTAGGTGCTTTCCAATCTCAAAAGAAAGCTCTCCCTGGTCTGAAGAGTGGTATTCCATGCCTCTAGTTATTTTTATTATTTTTCTCTTGACCTTTTCTATGGTCTGCTTCAGCACTTTTGAGGTGGAACAACAAGAGTGAACAAAGTATTCAAATACTAGCTGGCTAATTGGATGCATTTTCAGACACATATACATCCCTAAAAATAATACAATATATTCAAGATCTTAAGTATAGTTTTAAAGCAAACCGTGACTCTGAGGTAATCCAGTCCACAAAAAACAAAATTACCTTACACATTTTGACTGCCGTATAGCTACAAAATTAATTATCTGAGAGTTAATTTACAATCAGTAACTTCTTACTTTGTAACTGCTTGACAAAAAGCTGCCAGCTCTTGATTCTGCCCTTCAGTATCTTGGAGAAGTACATTGTCTGTTGCCAGGCTAGTGGTCCCATTGTCTTGCTACAATTAAAGAATAAAACAGAACTTTAAACAGGTTGAAAACACACTCCTAAAAACTTTCAAATCACTAGTCAGATCTCAAAAGCAAAGTAATGTTTGACAACTATATTTCAGTTACATGACATGAGAATTTACAGTATTAGTATATATATGTAGTACAAAAATTAATATTTCCGGTTATGATCAAATTGGTTTCAATTACCAGAGGTGAAAAGGAAATACTCATCGAAGCATGGAATCCGGCTTAGACAGCTGTTTATATTCAAGATACGTGACAGCTAACTCTCCAATATAGCACCAAGTTCCCAGATCAAAAGATACTACACAATTATTGCCCGGCTTGTACTTTCTATCCCATTTTATTAAGGAAAGGGATGCCAAGACAGGACAACTTACATCAGGGTACAACTTCCACTTGGTCAGTCAGAGAGGCAAAATGGATATGAGTAAATGGTTGTAACAAGAATGGCACTTCTCATAAATCAGTAACTTGCAGTACTCTGCATGAGCTTTAATGCAACCCTTGAACCCACAGCAATGATACAGCTGTGACTTGTGACTCCATAATGCAGTCTCTGATGGCAATCATGTTTGGAAAATTCTGATATATTTCCAGCAATTTTTAAATTAAAGTGCTTGATTCAACTGGTCACTTCTAAGATGGGGAGATGAAAGCCTCACTGCAGGCTAGGAATGTCATTGTGTGGACAACTACATGATTAACCAGTAAGCCCAGGCTTATCTTGTTGGCTACACACATTTCCCTCAGCTCCCAACTGTCCCACATTGCTGCCTCACATAAGCAGCAGCACAGCAAGCCTTTTCCGCGGGGGTCCGAACTCCCCACCAATAGAGGCTGCTCCGCAGCAGTAACCTCTGTCTGTGGGGAGTTCAGACCCCCTGCAGACTGAGGCTGCTGCCACCCTGCGCTGCTGCCTCTATATCAGAGGCTGCAGCCCAGGCAGCAGGCAGCAGGCAGCTAATCTGCACAGGGAGATGGTTTTTTTAAACTCACTCCCCTCATGGGCCAGCCCTTGCCTGCCACCCTACGCTGCTGCATTGATACAGAGGCAGCAGCGTGGGATATCAGAGGGCTCCCCAGAAGTGGGACTGGAGTGTGCTGGCTGCTAGCTTCGCCCCCGGGGACTATCAAATAGTCGTGTAACTGCTAAAATTTCATGCGGTTACATGACTATTCAATTATATGATATCAAACATCCCTTCTGCAGGCCAGATGCAAGCCAGAAGCTCTGAGTAACCAGGGTTGCCAGGTGTCTGGTATTCAACTGGACAGTCTGGTTTTTGCACCCTCTGTCCAGTAAAAAAATTAAGAAAATACTGGACATGTACAATGTCTGGTATTTTCTGCTTTGCCGGCTGGGCACCCAATGGAAGACTGGTGGGGGTTAAGGGAGTGGCTGGGGAGGCGGGGCCAAGGGAAGTGGCTGGAAGGTTCATGTAGTCAAAATATATGATATAGACTGTTGATTGTTTATAATAAAGTTCCCATTCAGTATTAAGCATAGTTGTGATGGGTTGTTTGGTTTTTTTTTGGCTTGACAAATGTTTAGCACGTGTGTTTGATATTTATGCTTGTTGCGCTGTTTTGTTTTGTTTTTTGTTTTTTTAGTGTGTTCAATATTTTTTGGGAAACCATCTGGCAACCCTATGAGTAACTGCTGTCACTTCCCAGTTCAATAATTTTCATACTGGGCACATGTTAGGGATGATGGCTATTGAATTAACTGATAGGTAAGTAACCACATTCATTCCTATTGCTTACTTGACTATTCGATAGTCCAAGGGCAGAGCTGGCAGACACTCCGGGGAACCCCGTCACCCCGCACTGTTGCCTCTATCAGAGGCAGTAGTGTGGGGCCACCCCGCACTGTTGCCTCTAACAGAGGCAGTAGTATGGGGTGCTGTAGGGGTGCAGAGCAGCCCCTGTCCATGAGGGGATCGGACCCTCCCCACAGACAGGGCTGCTGTCACAGGCAGAGGCTTCCTTCAAGTAGCCTCCCCTGCTACCACCCCATGCTGCTGCCTCAGACAGAGGCAGCAGCACAGGTAGGGGAGCAGGTGGCACCGCAGACCCGGTGCTGGGGAGAACCGGCTATTAAACTTGCTTCCCCCAGCACCAGTTCCTCCCCCCACACCAGCTACCCATGAAACACAGGCAGCAAGGGGGGGAAATGCAAGGAGTTGAGATGATTAACTGGTAAGCCAGGCTTTGAGGAAAAAGAATAGCAACAGACCTGGTGGCTCCATTGCCTGCTCCCCCATGGCACTGTCCTAGAAAGAGCATGACAGAAGCTTGAGTTATATCTGAGCCTACTAAAAGCAACCTGAAGCAAAGAATGGTTTCTTTCCCACAGAGGCCTGAGGGAAGGAAGGGAGAACAAGCACATGGAAGAAGAAAGGAGCTTAGAATCCACCAATTAAAGATTTCTTATTCTCTGTTCCAGCAATCTGGGGGATGTTCTAAACTTGAACCAATGGAAAGCAGTCTACTCAGAAGGATAGTCTTTGGCTGTTCCCAACTAAAGAAATATGCTATAACTCTCCTTTACCTGAGATAGCCTTGATGCAGAAAGGTACGTTGGCCTTCCTAGCAGGAAATTTTAGGGTGATATATAAGTATTCTTTGTACTGGTTAAGCAGCATTAATAGAACCGAAAAAGGCAAGACATACTAATTTAGGCTTCTGAACCTTTTTGAAACAAGTTCAGCTCTCAAGCTAGCTACAATGGCATTACCACTTCCAGCCTGATGTGAGGTGAATATCTAAGTTATTAATACTAGTTCTTGATTATGTGATAGAAATGTTGGAAGATCGGGTGTAAAATAGGTCACTAGGAATTTAAGGACGGTACTAGTAAGACCAACTCTTAACCAGGCACTCTCTCAAAAGTAAATAAGTACCATACTATTTATGGCAATACAAAAGACTGTTTGCTCATCACCTCCTCTCTCAATATTTCAGGCAACAGAATGGGAAGAAGTTGAATATCTATAGTTACTCTTAAAAAAGCTGAAACACTACTGTTTAATCCTTCATGGTAATCATAGATAGTTCTAATTTTATGATGTCTATCCTAACCTTTTAAGATCTAAACTACAAGTATCTTTTCGTGGTATTAAGTTCTGAATAAAATAACAGTGAGTTTATTTCAGAAATCAGTGCAATATTTTGTATTCATGTAATAACTTGCAAACATTTTGACAGCTGCTATTAGTTAACTTGATGTCCAAAAACCTGAAGTTTATCTCAGTAAAAATGTACATTTGCTGTGCCAGATAAAGCTATTTAAATACAATTCTATTTTATGTATAAATATATTATGTTGACATTACCCATTTTACTGGGATTACACATTTTTAGGTTTAGAGCTTTCTGCCATCATTAAAATAACTGGGTCAAATATGATAATCATACTTTTGCTTCCAATTTAAACCACAGGGTTTTGTCAGTCATGCCATAGCACTAGAATGTTTCACTCACTATAAACACTGTGTACATCTTGTGCACAATTGATATTCAATGGTGAATGTTACGTGCCAATAAATAGGCCAGTCCTGTCACAAGATGTACACAATTGATATTCAGTGGTGAATGTTACGTGCCAATAAATAGGCCAGTCCTGTTTAACTGACTAATCTATTGGGTTACTGTTATCAGTGTGTATAGGCATTGCCTGTGTAAGCATCTATGCTTCTGTGGATGCAATATGTTGTTCTATTATACAGCAAGGAATTTTTGCTCAACAGCTATCTCCACATGAAACACTTCTCATATTATTTAGTGTGTTAATCCCAAACTAAAACATCCAGAAGTTCCACTGCAAAGCCAAGCCATACTTGTAAACAAGTATTATTGTAGTGAGCACTGCAACATACACACATCTCCACTGGCTTTATTTTAATGGAGAATGCAGCTTTTCATATACACTTGAACCTCTTTAATCCAGCAACTCTGGAGAAAAAGGGTCTACAGGATTAAAGATTTTCCCAAGCCAGAGAAGGAGTGAGGAGGATTGAAGTATGGCAATCTACCTGGAGCCCCATGTCCCCAACTGCTCCCATATACCACACCCCCTTCCACTATGGGAGCAGTGGGGAATAGCCTCCAGCAGAGCAAATCACTGTTCTGCCCTTCCCCTAGCTGAGAGGGACAGGGAGCAGCAGCGCACAGAGCTGCCTCCACCTTCACATGCCAGGGTCCACAGGTGTTTCTGAATTAGGGACACCCAGAGTAAAAAGTATGGTTATAGTATTTATTGTAGTAGCCATTACCACCTTGCTATCAGTTTTCAACAAGATGGGAGATTTGGTTCTCTGTATCAAGTACAGGTAGTCCCCGGGTTACATGGATCCGACTTACATCGGATCCCTACTTACAAACGGGGTGAGGCAACCCCGCACTGGCTGCTTCCCCCCAGCAGACCAGGGAGACGCAGAGCGGCTTTTCTCAGCAGACACCTCAGCTTGAGAATAAAGGACTGAGGGAAGTGAGGTGTGGGAGAATAAAACTGAGCTCTGGAGAAATGTTTGGCTAGAGTTTCCCCTACAATATGTACATGTTCCGACATACATACAAATTCAACTTAAGAACAAACCTACAGTCCCTATCTTGGACGTAACCCGGGGACTGCCTGTACTGGTAATTTGATTTTGTGGTGTCACTTCCAATTACTGATCCTAATACTGTGTGTCAGCTGTCGATGCATTCAAAAGTTTTCCTTCATGATAGAGCATCTTCTGAATACAATGTGGTGCATAAAACAAGACTGCTACCCTTTTTCAGGATCCTTTCTGGTTTGAGTAACAGTGAGAAGCCTGTGGTGACTAGCTATGTTAAAGGGCATTGTGGGTGTCATTAAACTAGATCTCAGCGATGGAAAAAGTTCAAATGACTCATATGAAATCCGACCATAAATAATGGCTGACTGCAATCCTCAGCAATTCAGACTTCAACACTTTCTTCCATATTTGTTGGCATA